TTAATTATAAATATTTATTATTTATATTTAATAGTTTAATTTATAATACATATTATTACATATTGTGTGTATTATATATTATTATTTTTAATTAATTATTTATTATTTAATAGAAATGATATTATGTTCTCACTTTAGAAACTTTGCTTTATCAAATTCGAATAGCAGTATTTTTTTGTGATAGATGCAAAAACTCCACATCTAACATTTGGTAAAAGAAGAATACTCTACTTGTATTTACATGTATTGTTAATACCACAAAAGATACAAAGTCTTAAAACTATAGTTAGCATATTGGAGAGCAGCACGAACAAAAAGTCGTTTTTCTATTTATCCGTTAATAACTGTTATAGGAAACCTAATATATTTGTCTTAGATCTAAATATCACAAAGCATACTCTACTCGTATTATTACCACCAAACCAGAAAAGATACAAAGTCTAAAAACCATAGTTCGTGATAAGTTCGTGATAATTTCGTATCTGTACTCGAAAATAACTATTAAAAATAGATTAACCAAAATATGGAAAATAAAGTAGAAAATGGGTAGGTATTTATAAATGAAATAATAAAACAATCGGTAACCTTCATATATAGTGGAAAAAAACTCAAACTCAGAGTTGCACTTTGATTCTAATAGCACTTCCTTCTATATAGTTGGTCGCCCACAAATGCCTTTCAATACAAAATCTAAGGATGATAATATAAGGGTTATAAATAAACTTTCAGAATAACATTGTAAAGAGTTAATAAGGAGTTGTATGTAGATATCACTAGAAACGATAGCTGCAGACTTTGTTGCGAAGAGGAGGAAACAGCAGAACACATTTCGTGTCACTGTGATAGTCTTGCTAGACTCAGACTTCGGTACTTATGCACTGCCTATCCGGATATAACGGAATTAGGCCACATCTCTCCAAAGGACATATTGCCATTCTTAACTGCTATTCGTCTATGAAACTGATGTGGATATATCACAATAATCCTCAAAGAATGCAGTGACCGGTGACAAGTTCCCAACCAATTTTAAAAATCTAATCTAATCTAATCTAATAAAGAGTTCATGATGCAATAGTCTCAGTGAGAAATCAAAGTCTCACTAAATTATCTATTGTTTTGAAAAAAATATGATAAAAATGCAAAAATGATGCAAAATTTATACCCATTTCATCCGATTATGGTGAAATTATTTAAATTGGCTATTTTGAAGAAAACTCAATAGAATCACATTGAAAACTTTATAAATCTAACGGGTTCAATTACGCCAAGAAAACATATCGATCAGCAAAGTTATAAGATGTACTGAATAGAGCTATAAATATTTCATATTATCATCAATCTTAATAACGTCATGAGTATATGATCAGTAGACTTATAAAACGTACTCAATACAGGTATGAATACTTCATATTATTTTCAATTTAAATAACGTCATGAGTATATGATGAACGAATGAAAACGAATGAAATTCTCCTCCGACAGTTTCTAACTTCTATGCTATAAAGAATCTGTAACTCAAGATGGGGGTGTGGAATATAAGTCTGTCGTTAGGTGATGGATTCAACTAGTCAGTTTGTAATAAAAATTATATAAAAATTTTGAATTATACTTGTACTTACTGTGAACTAAATATATTAAAAATACTAAATATTTTTATATTAAATATTCAATTACCTTTGAATATATTCAAATCATTTGTCCGAATTTGAGCATACTTGAACTACGCATACAGCTCAATGCTTAAACGCAGTATTATATTGTAATCTATGGATTTTGGCCATTATAATTTGGTTATATATATATAAGTATTGAAATCAAACCCTACTGAATCAAAAACTAAGATTATGACTAAGACTATCAAGCATTAAAACATATAGGAAAGCAGATACTAACTCAACGGAAAAGAAAGAGTAAGGAGTAAGAGTAAGGAGACAGTAATGTCGGCTTGACAGTAATGTATTCGAGGGAAGAAAGAAATTTGTCGATTTTTGAAAACAACTATGAACAGAAATGATAGAATACTTAGTTTTAGTTTTAACCAAAGTGTGTTTAAATAAGGTCTTAAAAACCACACACAAATAAGAATATCACTTTATTTATATATTGTATTTATTTATATACGTGTAAATAATATTTATGTATATAAATATAATATTTGTTTGACACAATCTTCTAACTCTTATTATAAATTATTCAGTAAAATGCAGAAACCCTCTATGACCCTATATAGACTACGCCACTGCCCTTTGCAAGCATTGCAAATATCTTAATAAATCACATAAATTTATGGTAGATATTCGACATATAAACACATTTGACGATAAAAATATTGACGCAGTAAATAATAATTATTATCATTTCATAGCGATCCTATTTAACCATGAAATCAAATGATACTGACATTCCTGAATTCTCGAAATACTCAAATCAAATGAAGTTAAAGAAAATAAACTTGCTTTATATGTGTATTTCTTCCATTGTCAGCAGAGCTTATCTAAGTTAGCCTACAATTATGGTATATTTATACTGAACCCGATGAGCGTGATAATAGCGTAAAATTGCTGTAATTACTAGCAACACTCCGTACCACAAGTTGTCTAATGTAAGGAAATTATTATTTAAGATGATTTAAAAATAAATTTTTTTTCGGCACTAAAATGAAAAGTGTTTATATGTTTTTTAATCTTTCATATTTAAAACTTAATCGCATATAATAAAAAAATAATGAATCCGTAATGTTTGCTGTTCAAACCAATTAAAATACTTAACATTTGTAATTTTTTCCTTCTTTCGCAATATTTTTCTCATAAACTACAGTCAAATTATTTCCTAACAGTTCCAATTAAGTGAAGATAAAGTTTTTTTAAGGTTGGCTATATTTTCTTCAAATTAATTGGATGTTTTACAATTAACATCGTGTGGTGGTTTATTATTATTCATTTATGTATTTTCAATAATCAATAATATATAATAGATATATATATATAATTAGACCAGCGAAGCTGCCGACTCTACTATCCAGAAGCTACAAGTGGCTTGAAGTTAGACTCTCCGAAGACTCCTCAAAGTGTCATAATACATCCGCACGAATGACATGCTAAAAAAGCTTAGAATAGATCCGGTCAAAAAATACATAAGGAACAGAGCCCTGAAGCTATATGCGAAAACCGATAGGCTGCCCTATCTGACTTTGCACTATCTAACCTCAGATTAATCACTAACCGCATGGGGCGGTATGCAGATCTTAGATCAGTCATTAAATAATCACGAAGCTTAAGAGGAACACATAAATTAGTCACTGAAATGGATGGGACTCTGCAAAAACTTCCCAGCTATCAAAGAGTAAAAGTACCTAAATGCACTAACTCGGAAAAGGCTCAACATAATAATAAAAATAATAATACTATATTAAAAAAAGTTCAATATAAAATCGTGAGAATCTTAAACCAAAGAATCTATAGTACAAAGAAGTGCCACGCTCATACAAACGAAATACCCACTTTATTTTGCTGGTGGATTTATAATAAATCCACCCAACCTCATGCAACAATGTTCGATCGAGTCACAACTGGTATGATGTTCAGTTCAAACCTATATGTGAGTCGAGTAAGGCTGACAAAAACCTGACTGCATACGTATTCAATCATACATGCAACCCTCTGTATTACATTATACGCATGTTTGTGTGTTTGTTCGCTGTAAAATGTTCAAGCGATCAAACAGCATTTCAGTGACGAAATCAAAATTGTGTACATTTGATAATTTTTTAATTTAATAGTATAAAACAAAAACAAAATTCCCTGTTTGATATCGTTATGAATTGTAGTGTAAAAACACATTACAAATTTATTTATATCTCAAATCTGATTTTTTTCATTCTATGAAGCTTTATTCTTAAATGTTGTCCATGCGCAATGTTTCTGAAGCAATATCGTAATCACCAATTTTAACATTTCAATCCGGTGTAAATAGCATTCATGCGCTTCCTCAAATCAGGAGGCATTATTAGTGGTTTTAGTGACTTCTACACATTTTTTTATCATAATTTTTCTTACATTTCTAATATTTTTAATTTTTTTAAAATGCTTTTTAAACACTTTTATATGAATTTTGCAAATATTTTTTAAAATAATTACAAAAAGTCACCAAAAACTCAAACTATTAAGAAGTAGTTCCTTTTGAGGTAAAATATATGCACAAATGTGCAATAAAAACATACATATTAATATACTGCAGACTTAATGTCTCCAATATCACATTTGTACATACATAATGGTTTTTGTAGTGCATCATTTGTTGCAATAAAAAAAATAATAAATTCTATTACTCTTTACTCCTATGATATGGGCCTTTCCAGTACAATAAGCTAAAGCAACAAAGTATATCGAAAAATTATTTGAGGGATTTCTTTACCATTCACTTCGTTACCAATCCATGTATATGAATTAAATAGACAAATAAAAACAAGAAAGGCAAAAGAAACAGGCATATAAAAACAATTGTGGGTTGCAATGAGTTTGAACTGAACAACATACCAGTTGTGACTCGATCGAACATTGTTGCATGAGGTTGGGTGGATTTATTATAAATCCACCAGCAAAATAAAGTGGGTATTTCATTTGTATGAGCGTGGCACTTCTTTGTACTATAGATTCTTTGCTTAAACTATAAAGTTAAAGAAGAGACAAGACAAAGTCATTACTGATCCGTATTATGTGAGAAATTATCGACTTAGTATTAGAAAACCTTATCTAGTCATAATGTACAAAGTGATTTGAAATTGCTTTGGACAAATATAGAACTAGTAATATTATTGTAAGTATTTTGTTGAGTTATGTTTTAAATTACATTAATTTACATTAATGTTATTTACATTAATGCCATAATGTTAGTTACATTAATGAGTTTAACAGGTTTTAGTAAACAAAATGTTTAAAATCAAAACTTAATATCATAATATATAGTAAAATATTTTTTTTTAAGGTCGTCTAAATAAAAAATTAGGCTTGGAACTTGGAACTACTTTCAATATCTGACTTCTCATTTACATCATTTCCAAATAAAGTATATTCGAAATTTCCACGGCACTATGTGAAACAAGGAAAATATTTGAAAAGTTTTAAACTTTGTACTATCCTATCTAAATAGTGGAAAGTTATTTTGAAAACTTTTACTGTAAGGAGACTTATATTGATTTTGAAAAAAACCAGATATAATTTATAAACAAAAATTAATCAAAGCCTCACACCAAAAATAATAATATAAAATAAACTTACATGGCACAACAATTGCGAAATAATTGGTAAATTCTTTAATATAACTTAAAAATATTTAATTTATTTTAAATTAAATTTAGCTAAATTTAAAATTTTGGTGTTATAATTTAAAAGTATTTTTAAAAAAGTATTTAGATTTCTGATTTCTAGCTATTTTGATTTTACAAAGTTGTTATAGAACTAAACAAATTGTTTATTCCTGGATTTTGTTAATTATATTCGTGCAGTTTTTTACCAGAAATATGCTAGTTTATAGCACTGTTATTAAAAATTCAGCGAAAAGTCCAAACTTAAAAGTTTTTACAAACCTTTTTTTGTAAATGATTTGCTTGTGTTGAAATGTAACTCTATATTGACAACAGATAAATTTATGCATATAGGGTAACACAATGGGCCAATTGGCCTTGTAGATCCACCAGGAAATATGACACTTCATTTATCAAGCAGATGCATTTATAGCAGTGACGACGCGTGCCCTATCTGGAAGGGTGTGCGGCCCTTCTTTAATGTTGTTTTTACATGTACCACTTATATTAAAATATATGAGATCTTTTATTAATAATAACTATATTATATAAGGCAACAATATATTCGCGCAATATTATAATAACAATTCATTAACAAAATAACATATTAAACAAATTAAATTAATAATTTACATACAAGTTTAATATTATATCAATATGGAAGAAACAAAACTTTTCACATAATTCTCGTAACATCAAACCAAAATTTTTCAAACAAAAGAGTTTGTACTTAGAAACATACATGTTTGTGCAGTGATCAAACAAAATCGAAACCACTTGCAATGTGCGCACAAATACCCCGCACAATAAGAACAGAAATTCGTGGGTGCTGCTGTTAAAAGGGGAGAGACGAAATGTGATAAAAATGTATGGTGAGATGAGCTGCAAACTTCAGCCGCTCATGCAACCACTTTGGCAAATCATCATGTTGGATTCGTATGCATACAGTTGATATTCGAATAGAACAGAAAATTACTCTCATACAATTCCCACTATATAAATCTCTATTTCTGATATTACGAACGGGAGCACACGCACATTATTTTGTTCATATGTAACGTATGAATGTGCGGCCAACTTCTTAGCACACAAAGGGGAGAGACGAAATATAATAGAAATGTTCTGTGATTTGAGCTGCAAATATATGAGCACAACTAACAAGTATAGCGGCTAACAGAAGCAAATTAATTGAGTTTTCATAGACAATTATATTTAATTGTTTTTGCTAAAACTTTAAAAATATATATTTATATGGAAATGTAATAAATAATAATAATTCTTGATGTAAAGATACTTAATAAATTTATATACCTATGTTATTTAACATTTTGCAAATTATATTAGGGTGTTCACCGCACACCT